TCACGTAATTAGTTCGCCATCCTTTAAGTTTTTTAAAATGTTGTATTATCTACTTCTGTTTATAGTTTCAAATGTCAGAGTGTATAGCAAAATCTTAAAATCTTAAATTTATGAAAAATTACTTATTACATGGGGGTTTAGGGTTTGACATACTGAATACTAGCTGTTAGTCTATTACTGGCTGTTGTATGTTGACTCCTAGTCGTAGATATTGATGTCTTTATCATATTATGTGACGTAATTCAATATCTTTGATACTTTCGAGGGGTCTCGTTGGCCCAGTGGTCTAAGTAGTCTGGTTAATTCTTTATTGTACATATTTGAATGAAATTTTATCAAGAGAAAAGTAGTCGAACTACTGTATCACTAGACAGTCAACACTGATGTTGTGAGTTCGAATACCGCACGTGGCAGGTGCACTAGACTCCAATCTTAATTGACTAGGATTGTCAGTTTTCCTACCGAAGATCGGTGGTTCTCTCCGGGCACTCCGGCTTCCTCAACCAATAAAAACTGACCGCCACGAAATAGCACAATAGTGTTGAAAGTGGCGTTAAACACCAATCAATCAATCAATTTGATACTTACGAAGCAATACATTTGGCATTATTTTAACGCTTTTTAAAATGCGTACTTCAGGTTTTTTCGTTTAGTTTGATTCACAATTTGGCAAGTCCGATCCTTTTATAGCTGGCTATACGGTATGGTTTTGCTCATTGTTGAAGGACGAACGGTGTTCTTTAGTTGCTAAAATCCGCTTCACTTGGGCTCTGATGGATGGTGGTCTTATTGGCAAACATACAACATCTTATTGTTATACAGAGAGAAAAAAATAAGATGAACTCTCCAAATGTCCGATTATGTGACGTGAGAATATATATACTGTGTTCTTATCACAAATAATTCTAAATTATAAGTAATAGGGATGTATTATTATATTCTCGATTAATAATATTGTGTATTAATTGATTTGATTACCATATTTATAGTAATATGTATTGTACACAAAGAGGAGAAGATACAAAGTGGTAAAAAGAAAAACGGAAATCGAAGACAAACAGACGACACCAAAATGTCAGAGATGAACTCTGGTGCATTATGTATGCTTTGGGGCCCTTTATAGCTTGCTGTTCGGTGCGAGCCAATGCTCCGTGTTGAAGGCCGTACCTTGACCTATAATGGTTTACTTTTATAAATTGTAGCTTGGATGGAGAGTTGTCTCATTGGCAATCATACCACATCTTCCTATATCTATTTGACTTACTTTAACATCCAGTTTGGTCATTCAATACACAATTATATGTACTGTAAACGCCTGATAATAGAAATTAGAAAATACATAATAGTAGATAACAGTATATGTGACCAAAAAATACGTGACTGTACTATTATTATTTTTTTCTTTCAAAAACTGCATCATCTCTGAAATGTCATAAATAGCTCAAACAGGAGGTAACTACAAATAAAAAGTAACTGCAAACAGGAGGTAACTACAAATAAAAAGTAACTGCAAACAGGAGGTAACTACAAATAAAAAGTAACTGCAAACAGGAGGTTACTACAAACAGAAAGTAATTGCAAACAAAAAGTAACAACAAACAGAAAGTAACTGCAAACAGGAGGAAACTGCAAGCGTAAAGTAACTGCAAACAGAAAGTAAGAGCAAACAGGGGCTAACTGCTAACCGGCGGTATCTGCAAACAAGACTTAACTGCAAACAGCAAGTAACTGCAAACAGAAATTAACTTCAAACATGAGGTAACACATAGAAACAGAAATTAACTGCAAACAGAAATTAACTGCAAACATGAGGTAACTATAAACAGAAATTAACTGCAAACTGGAATTAACTGAAGGCAGAAAGTAACTGCAAACAGGACTTAACTGCAAACGGTAAGTTATTGCAAACAGAAAGTAGTTGCAAATAGAAAGTAACTGCAAACAGAAAGTAACAGCAAACAGTGATTAACTGCAAACAGGTGGTAACTGCAGACAGAAATTAACAGCAAACAGGAGGTATTTGCAAACAGAAGGTAACAGCAAACGGATAGTAACTGCAAACAGAAAGTAATTGCAAGCAGGAGATAACTGCAAACTTAAATTAACTGCAAACAGAAAATTACTGCGAACAGAAAGTAACCGCAAACAGGAAGTAACTGAAAACAGAAATTAACTGCAAACAGAAAATAACTGCAAACAGGAAGTAACTGACGAAAAAGTAACTGCAAACGGAAAGTAACTGCAAATAGAAGTTAACTGCAAACAAAAAAACTGCAAGCATAGAGTAACTGCACAAAGAAAGTAATGCAAACGGAAAGTTACTGAAAAAAAGTAACTACAAACGGAAATCAACTGCAAACGGAAAGTAACTGCAAACAGAAGGTAACTGCAAACAGAAGGTAACTACAAACAGAAGGTAACTACAAACAGAAGGTAACTGCAAACCTAAATTAACTGCAAACAGAAGTAACTTCAAATAATTCGGTCGACGTTATCAGATTAGAAAATATAAGCTAACACAATATTTATTTAAGATTTCGCAATAAAGCTATATAATTTATATATATTTATGATTTTTCATGTTTAAATAACCGACTTTTTATATTTCGATTTGTTATATGTGTAATGTTTACCTTTTGGTGGTTTTTTTAATGCATATCTAAAAATAGAATAAAGAAAACTTTCATAATTTTAGAACAGTAGTCATCATGTAATATCTCTGGTTAACTCGACAATACGACAACTGTGTCATCACAACAACTGTGTCACCACTGCCAATATCAGCTACATGTAGAATACCATGCAATGTCGTTGATAAGAAAGCGCATTAGGACATACAAAAATTAAATTAGAATTGAACTTTATTTCGAAGTCGCAATTTTAACATTCAAAATCTGAAAAAAAACTGTTTACATTTTGTAATTTCCAGTTCATACAAGTCGAAATAGTTATTATAATATTGATACCAAGGGGTAGTCAAAAATACATATAGAAAAAGGAAAAATGATAGAGAGGCCAAAGATACCAAAGGGATATTCAAACTCATAAATCGAAAACAAACTGACAATTGCCATGGTAAAAAACGAAAAACAACAGTACATAAAATGCAACATAGAAAACTAACGACTGAACAACACGAACCCTACCAAAAACCTGGGGTAATCTCAGGTGCTCCGGAAGGGTAAGCTGATACCGCCACAAATGTGGCACCTTTCTTGTTGCTCATGTAAGTACATGTACAAACTTGTTGATAAGTTTAATTCGGTAGGTCACATTAGAGGGAAAGAGGACGAACAACACCGTAAATAAACTCATCATATATACCAGGATTACAATTTTGTGCGTCAGACGCGCGTTTCGTCTATAAAAGATCCATCAATGACGCTCCAATCAAAAAAGTTAAAAAAGGCCAAATAAGGTACGAAGTTGAAGAGCATTAATTGTTACCAAAAGGTATAACAAACGAAAAGACAACGAAACATCTTGAGAGCATCATGTTGGAAACAAGAAAAGTCTGAGCAGAAATACAGCCACAAACTGGGGGATTCGAGTGAAATGGATAGGTAAGCAGTGTTTGACCCGTAAGTGACTGTGGTCTAATTTGAGATCTGAAAAAAAAGCTTGTCTTTAGTAAACCTCATACCATGGCGGATTTGTAGGCTTCTGTTTCCTTACCCTTACAAAGCTCATAAAACGATCAAAATAAATATAAAGATTGATATGAATAAAAGGATCCATAGGGTCAACGTACATGCAGCTTAGTATTCGATTTTCTACAAAAGACAAGTGTTTTTACAGTTTTTTACAGGCCACGCATAATAATTCTTGAAATATATTAAATCAAGATCAGCCACCGACACAGTATGATACTTAGTTGTACATGTATCCAGAGGCGGATTTCGGGGGGTGGGGCAGGATGCCCAGTGGCCCCCTTATTGAACTACATATATGGTTAACACATAGACTTTTTACATGTTCTATTTCTAACGTTGGGGCTCCAGTCCCCCCCCCCCTCCTTTTAAATCTTGGATCCGCATCTGGGATCGAATGACCGATTTGTATACAGTTCGATCTTAGACTTTCTACAACGCGTACAATCATAGTTACCTTGAAAGGGCAAGGGCAAGTTAAAATGGCGCTGTCATGAAAATCGACTTTTTTATATAGTGGAAATAAAACTTAGTGCTAAAAAGGCTGTACGTAAGATCTATTTTTAGATTTCGGGCGTTGAAGCAAAATGTAATCAGATAATATGTATTTCAAAATATGGTTATTGAAGATCCAGTTACCAAAATTACTAAAAATATTGTTTTTCAAAATATTTCACAAGATTTGATTCTAAAAATAGTATGTTTATATCTTTAAATATACGTGCACTACAGAAACTTTACATTTAGACTGAAGGTCATGTTTATCTGCGTAATTTAAATGATATAAATATCAAATATGAAGTTGGTCAAGGATGTGTACACACGTCATATTAGTATTGACGTCACTGGCTATTGAAATAACACAAGACACTAAAGTTATAAACGAATTTAACAAATGCATTTTTATTTATATACTGAAGATTGCTTAAAATATCATATCCTATTTGTAAAAAGATGTGTATTGCGAAAATAAACTAAATAAATATTTGAAGCAATTAATGAAAATAGAAAATTGATGTATCTGTTGTCAAAGCAAAATGTAATATGATGTGGTACTTGAAAATAGATCAGAAGTAAGATTTTTAGAAAATATTTCGCAATGGTCAATTGGTGAATGCAAATATAAAAATAGAGCTTAGTACTATTAAATAAATGTTGTGAAAAAATCTACCTTTATATGCAGATGCAGATATTTTTTCGATTTTATTATCGATATATTTTTCTACCACAGCTATAACAGTGTGACATTGATGATTGAAAATTAAAAAAAAAAATACATTGTATAGTCATCGATATTGTAACATGTGTCAACGTTACACAAAATGTTAGAAATAAGAGAAAAAAGGAGCCGTATTGATTAAATATACAGACGAACTCAACAGCTTGTAAAAAGATAAAACTTGTATTATAAATGGAAATTGCATTCGCTGCCACCAAAATGCCTAAAGTGATGTGACTAATTCATTTGAATAGTATGTTTTATCATACATTATAGTAAACGTAGATACATGTTGATATTTTTTTTTTTTTTTTTTTTTTGATTTACAGTGATATATTAGTTTTGAAGGGCAGGGATTATTACTTATTTTAAACACAAATTGAAAGGTAAGTACAACACTTAACATGCAATAATGTTTGAATTGCAACTATTACTGCAAATAGTAATCATTTATAAATAAATAGGACAAACGTGAGACAGACCGCAACACAACAACAAAAAACAAAATAAAAACAGTTTGCTGCCAATATACGGTATTCAAAAATTGACATGTTTTGTTTACAATATGTTAATATCTAATACCGATTCGAATTAAGTAGTAAATAGATTTAAGGAAGACCAAAGACAGTCAATGCATGTAGACTTATTTTCTTATAGTTGCTGTTACCTGTGCTTTATCTTCTATATACTTTCTTAAAACCAGGCTTAATTGGTACATGTTCTACAAAGAAATTTAACGTTTAGCAACTTACGGCTATAACAAAAAGTTTCCTTTTTTATTGCAAACAAGAACAGTTCAGGCTTTCTATTTACACCCCTACACTATGTCTAAACCTTCAGCACATGAGGACAAACAACTATATTACAGTTTGCAGTGCAAGCACATTTTGTAGCACTGAAAGGCGATCGACTTAATATATATTCTCTCCTTCATACTAAGATTGTAATTTCTTAGAAGTCTTTACTTTGAACGTCCTTAGTTGGTTGTTTTGTTACACATAGTTTATGACAGAAGTTTGAGTACTTCACTAATTTGCATACACACTATTTTGGCGGCAGTCATTTTAATAAGATTATAAATGCGCCATCCCTCCGTCGGGGTCTACTTTGGCATGGACTTCGTCATATCTGCACAATATGCATCTGCGTCTCCTTCGAAATCCATAATCATATATCTAAATGAAACTTATTTGGATATATATTGTGATGGGAGAGTCAGTCCCCCTGTTCGCTAGTCCGTCCGTCCGGTCATGCGTCCTCCTGTCCCAGTTTTGTATCTGACATTGCTCCTGAACCTCTGGACAGAATGTTGTGACATTTTCACAGATTCTTACTCACCTGATCTACTTTTCAATCTCTTGTTTTATCTAATTGATTTTTGGGGTATAATTTGGGATACTTTGACATATCTGCACACACTAATAGTACACATTTGTACCTACTTCTACTCCTAAATCCTTAATCAATCATTAAATGACAAATCATCGTTATATGTCTACATATAATGTCATTGTGCGTCTTTTATTTTTTTGTCCGGATTACTTTTGGGGTTTCCCTTACCGAATCATGGACTTTGCAAAAAGCGGGGGTATCTTTTTATGAGATTTACTCTTAGTAGCTCTGGTTTGCCTTCTGCTTGTTTACAAAGGAATCATGTTAACTATAGGGAACTTTCGGACCATTGTATTTTATAGAACTGAAGGGTACATGTATGCGTACTTATAATTGCTATATAAAACAACCATAATTCGTGAAAAAATTCAGATTCAAAATACAGATACAATGTAAAAATAAGGAGATGTGGTATGATTGCCAATGAAACATCTATCCACCAAAGTTAAAATGAAGTGGATGTAAGCAATTAACGGCATTCAACAATGAGAATAAAACATAGTCTGATCGGCTTTAAAAAGCCCCCACATGAAAAATATGAAAAACATCAATTGCGAAAAACTAACAGCCTAATTTATAACATGGCATTGCTTGCATGTTCGGTGTGAGCCAAGGCTCCGTGTTGAAGGCCGTACTTTGACCTATGATGGTTTACTTTTACAAATTGTGACTTGGATGGAGAGTTGTCTCATTGGCACTCACACCACATCTTCTTATATCTATATATGATAACAAATTACGAAAAACAAATATGACCAACATGAACTAACGAAAACCACTGAACTACAGGTTCCTGACTTGGGACAGGTACATAAAGAACTGGCAGGATTAACCATGTTTGAAGGCGCCAACAATTCTTAGATGAGAATGTTTAAGATTTGCCCAATGTGGAATCACCCTGTAGGATGAATTTGCACAGTAAATAACTTTTATTTCACGTATTTTCTTGAATGTTCAGCTAATGCCTTTTAGCCCCGATGTTTTCATGTTTCCGATTGCGCAAACGATTACAATTTGAAGCATTTTTTTTTAGAATAAAACAACATGTTTATAAAAGTCCGGGGAAAAAAAGAAATTTCAAAGGCGCGTTATTTTTAAATCTAAGATGTAAAAAGGTGATTGTCTGTTATTTTTTACTGGTTTTATAGCTAGCTAAACATCTCACTTGTATGACAGTCGCATAGAATTCCTTTATATTGACAACAGTGAGTGAGCAAAACAAACAGACATACTAGGTAAAAATGTAAAAAAAATTGGGGTACAGCAGTCAACAATGTATTACTATCTTAATCACTATAAAAACAAACAACTATGTCAACAAAGAAAAACAAAATGGCATATAGACACTCTACAGACAAAGTACATAATCAAAAATGAAAGACATGAATACAAAAAAAAGAGCATAGTACAATAACATAAAAAGGGACGTCACGTGATAGAAATATCCTTCATAAATAAAATTGAGTGCTTCGGTTGGAATGTTCCAATCACTTGAATTGCTTTTTGCGTAAAATGTAATGCCAGTGCTATGAAAAGGAGGCGCAAGATACCGAAGGGATATTTGAGATAAACTGACAATGCTTTGGAAAAAATCATATACAAAGAACAGTTAACAAAGCGCAAAACAGAAAAATAAATACAGAGCAACACAAACACAACCAAAATACCGAGGGTAATCTCAAGTGCTCCGGAAGGGAAAGCATGTCTTGCTCCATATGCGGCACCCCTCGTGTTGTTCATGAAAGTACAAATTTGGTAATTAGTTTCATTCCGTGATATCACTGTCAGCTCATGGTAGTTTGAGACATGCTATTTTTGACATTTAATTCATTTAGTTTACAAATTTTCACATACTAGTAACTGTAAATGCGATTTATCGGGTCGTATTTCTTTGATTCTGTTATGTTTTCCATTTATGTCGTTGTTATAAAAATGAGGAGATGTGGTATGCTTGCCAATGAGACAACTATCCGTCAGAGTTCAAATAAATTGGATTTAAGCAATTATAGGCAACCGTACGTCCTTCAACAATGAGAAAACCCCATACCATAAAGTCGGCTATAAAATGCTCCGTTATGTTTTTCGTTCAGTTAATCATTTGTTACTTTTCCCCCAACTAATATTATAAATGAATTATACAATTTGATATGAAAAACCTTGAGGTAAACTATTTTGGTAAATTGTTCAACATATGTCTAAAGCATATAAAATCAGAGTATAAAAACTGAAAATTTTCATGACGTCTCTCGGTTACTTAATGTCGTTAGGTTGCTATCTTGTTAGCCTATCCCATGCCCATGACTAAACCATCAATCTCGCTGAAGATGAAATAAATTTCTATATTTATAGTAAATACTGCTATTTTTATCGTCTCTCATTGTGTTGTCGACCTTTGAATTAAGGAGTGTATTTTGTGTTCGTTGACAGACAACAGTCTTATCTGAAACTTTTAAAAGCTGTAAGTGGTGATTGTGGTATAATCTCAGACAAGACAATAACCAAACATGTTTCCTTTAGTGGTGCAACATCCTGTCCACGCGCTCTTTATCAAACTTAACAGTACTGTTGTCTTCACTTCAGGTATTAAATACATTAATATGTTTAAAACGTACATTTAAGATCACATCATAATCTTACTTTGTAAAATAGATGACAAATCCTTAATATTGACATTTTATCGCAAATTAAATACAGATTTATTGAAGCTGGAATTGGTTTAATACAACCGCATAATTTTTGCGTTCGTATTATGTTATGGCGTTGTCTGCGTCGTCGTCGTTCGAAGACATTTGGTTTTCATACAATAGCTTGAGTATAAATGTATGGATCTCTATGAAATTGCACCACAAAGGTTCATACCACAAAAGGAAGGTTGGGATGATTGTTTTGGGGGGTAATTGTCCTTACTGTGTAGAAATTAGGGGCCAAAGAGGTGCCAAAAACACGCATTTTCTTGTTTCAGGACAATAACTTGTGTAACGGTGTATGGATCTTTATGAAATTGTACCACAAGGTTCCATAACTCAAAAGAAAAGATTGGAAAGGATTTTGGGGGTTGTGGACCTAACCGTTTAGAAATAAAAGTCAAAAAGGGGCTAACAAGTAGGATTTTATGGTTTCCGGACAATAACTTGTCATGAGTATTATTCTATGAATCTCTATGAAAGTGTACCACAAGGTTCCGTACCAAAAAAGAAACGTTGTGATTGAATTTGCGGTTAACCGTTTAGGAAATTGGGGCAAAAACTCTACTAATACTTTGTATAATTAAATTGCTTTTTCTTGACTAATTTCAATGGGGTTTAATTCAAAGTCTTGAATTCTTGTGGTTCTTTAATATGCTGAATCTAACCGTGTATTTAAATTTTGGATTTTGGGGCCCGTTTTCAAATTAGTCCACATTTAGGTCCAAAGAGTCCAACATTAAACTTTGTTAGATTTCATAAAAAAAAATGATTGTTTGGGTTCTTTTATAAAAATTATGCTGAATCTAATGTGTAACTAGATATTTTATTGTAGGGCCCGTTTTCAAATTGGTCCACATTAAGGTCCAAAGGGTTCATAATTGAACTTTGTTTTGATATCAACCAAAATTTAACTCTTTGGGTTTCTTTATATGCTAAATCTATCTTAAATTTTGGTTGATATCAAAACAAAGTTTTATATAGATTTTGGGTCCGTTTTGGGACCGGATTTCAAATTGGTCCACATTAAGGTCCAACTTAAACTTTGCTTGATTTCAACCAAAATTTTATATATGAGGTTCTTTAATATGCTGAATCTTACCGTGTATTACGTTTCAAAATTTGGGCCACGTTATCTTATTGGTCCACATTGAGGTCCAAAGGGTCCAAAATTAAA